ACAAAATGGTCAGAAAATTTTACAAAAAATATTTTTAAGCTCAGCTCGATGAGAGCTTTCGATTGATATAACATTTGACCCATTTATACCTATTTTGGGAAAAAAATTTTTTTGGCCGAAAATTTTGGCCGGAAAAATAAACGAATTTTTCAAAAAATCATAACTTTCCAAAAAGTTACCCTTTTAAACATTTTAAAAGCTTAATATATAGCAAATGTTCTGTAGTATTTTATAAAAATATTTTTAACCACCCTCACCTCGATATACCCCAGAAAATTTCAAAAAACCGAAAAATTTTGAATTTTCAAAAAATCGACCCTACCAGGCCTTGCGTGAAATTTTTCGAAAATTTAAATAGCTCAAAAAATATGTAATTTTTTGCTCTATTTTATAAACTTTAATTCGTTTGGATACGACAAAAACTTACAAAGTTATGCCCAATTTAAATTTTACCAAAAAATTTCAAAAGGCGTACCACTCCAAAAATGGGTCAAAAATTCGACCTCGAGAAAAATATGTTTTATGGTGCTCCAATAGGTGCTGAACACGAATCTAAAGTCCGTTTATTTTTAAAAATTTTTTCCGCGGAGTTATACTCAAAAAACCGACCACTTTTGGCCCCAAAAATGCCACTTTTTTGAGTATATCTTTCCCAGACTCAAGTGTACCCCCAACAAAGTATATATTTTTAGAGGTTTCAAGGGACGCTCTACAAGATAGGATACTCAAATCGAGTTTCAATTCACGCGTTAAAAAGTCGGTTTTGGCGTGGTCACTTTGGTGCCCATAACTATGCCAGGAAAAAATCCCAGACTCAAGTGTCCCCCAACAAAATTGTAGTACATTTAGTGCCCTAACATACCAAAAAAGAGTTGAAACCGTTGGCCCAAGTTTAACCACTTTTATAATTACACTCGATGGGAGCCACCCTTCACGTTAGGGGTTTTGGACATTTTGGACCTTTGACCTTCTGTAACTCTGCCCAAAATGGTCAGAAAAATTTGAACCAAATTTTCCCAGAACCTACTCATGGAGCTCTATCGATTGGCATATAAATCATAAATTGTCGGTGAATTTCGTCGGACACCATGTGTCATTTTTGGACGAAGTGCACAATTTTCGCGACGGCACATCGCACTCAACCGTCCACCCAGAGGTCCCGAAATTTTTCCTACGATATAGTACCTTTCCCAACTTAATCGCCTCCCAGCAGACACTTTTTGATCCAACTTTTGCCTCCCGAGTTATTTCCATTTGAAAAACCACCCTTGGCCGTTTCAGTGCGAAAACGACGTTTCAGTGCCGAGTTTATAGTTTTCCTGAATAGAGCGTAAAAAGTTGCAGGACAAATGTACCCTTCAAAAAATTCCAGCCGCCGGCCTTCGGCCGGCGGAATTTTTGAAAGGGATTTTACCCCCAAAAATAGGGGCAAGTTGGGGTTTTTTATATTATATTATAAATAAATGAAAAAATCTTTTTACACTCTCAAATCTAACTCTTTCAATTTTCCTGATTCTAATTTAAATTACTGGCAACTTGAATAAATATGTTTGTACTCCTTATTTTAGTGTTTTGGAAAGGGTCACCCTGCTTATATAATATTAGGTGCGGACATAATTAGTGGCCGTTTTTTAGATTAAATTTTTAGGGGTGTTATATTACATATATTCTTTCTACTTATTAATCAACATAAAGATCCGAATCTGCTCTTCATTTTAATATCTGCTCTTCATCACTACCGAATCTGCTCTTCAATGTGTCTGCTTAGACCTTTTTAAAAATTATCCGATCAGGATGATCTAAACGGTTTTTTAAATCACATAGAGGGCTTATACTAAATCCGAAATATAAAGTCTGTAAATCGTGTCGAACCCGGAATTCGAATTTCGACTTTTTTGAAAAATTTAGACCTTTCGGATTAAAAATTCGACTTAGTGCCCTCTTGATAGAGATTTTGACGAGCTTTCGAATGATAAATACACTAAATATTAGCATTACATATACTCGAAAAAATTTGATTTTCGATGATTTCGAAAATTTTGACATTTTCGATCATAACTCCATGAATACCTAACCAAAAATTTCCAAATTCGGGATGATTTAGAAAATAAACTGACAAATTATTCGGTATAAAAATAAAAAATATTTTTAAGGAAATTAATTCTAAAAAACAAAATTAAAAAACGGCCACTAATTATGTCCGCACCTAATAGCTAATGACTGAGGGCGGACTTTTATTAAAATATGTCTGCTTAGACCTTTTTATGTTATCCAAATTGTTTTAGAAGTAATTATTTTCAGCTGATATTTTTCAATATGAATTCAAAATTTAAAAGCGGTTACTTGGCAAATCAGAAAATTTATTTTTGAACACATATTTTTACTTTTTAAAAATAGATTTTTAAATTTTGATAAACATTTTTAAATAAATTGTTTTTCAATGTACTTGAAATGAAATCTCAACAAAGTTTTTCAATGTACTTTGTTGAGATTTCATCAAATTAAAATATTTTTGTTTCTATTGGCATTAGAGTTGCACCCCGACCCCGTACCCCGACCCCCGTTCCCGAAAGATTTTTCCAAAATTTCCCCGACCCGAATTCCGCCCCGAAAAAAATGAAAACCCCGTCCCCCGACCCGAAAAAGTTTCGGGGTTTTCGGGGTATACACCCCTAAAAACGCCATTTTTAAGGAGAATTTAAAGAGAAAAATTTTAGAAACTTCCTCCCAATTTGCTTTGCCTTTATTATTTTTGTAAGAAAAGTGAATGAAATATCAATATTGTATTTCCATTTTAACTAACCGACTTGTGGTCGAGTGGTTTAGTTTTTGGTTTTGTCTATATTTCTATTCGTATAGGGTATGGTTCGGATCCAAATAAGGAAACCTGTTTGTTTTGTTATTTTTCTTTACAAAAACAAGCGTTAAATTTTAATTTTAGAAGTTTAATTCTATTTTTAAATATTATCAACCATAAATTTTTAGTTTAGTCTAAAAATTCTAAAATTTTCGTCTGTGGCTCTAAAAAAGGAAGATTCTAGCTTCTTTGCCTTCAAAAATTCTCACACTCCTCGCCTGCGGCGCTGAAAAGGAAGAATCTCTCAACTCCTCCCTATTCCTTCAATATCCTTCTAAATAACTGGTATCCCTTGAACACCCTTAATCCTTCGAAACCCTTATATCAGCAGATAAGTCAGTTCTTGCATCCCTAGATATACCATTTAATCCCTAAAATCCCACTTAATCCTTCAGATCCGCTTATATACCCAAATATACACTTTAATCCCTTCAAATCCAATTTAAAGTCTCAAAATCCTACTTAATTTTTTAAAAAAATTAACGAAAATAGACCAAAACTAATTATTTTTTAACATTTTTTTCTCTAAAAAATTTTTTACAAAACCCCCGTACCCCGACCCGAACCCCGACCACATTTTGGTCCCCCGACCCGTACCCCGCCCCGAAACAATTCGAAAACCCCGTACCCCGACATACCCGCCCCCGAGCGTTCGGGGTGCAACCCTAATTGGCATTCAACAAAAGGATTAAAAATACATTTTTCCCAATTTCCTTCTATCATTCAAAAATTAACATTTACTTTATAAAAATTCTTTTTGGCAATAATCACACATCAATTTTTAAAAACGACGCCCATTTTTTATAATTAGGCAATGGGACTGAAGAAAACAAATTGACCTTATAAAGAAGAGAATTTCTTCGAACATAATTTAATGCCATTCATTTTTGTTTTAGATTTCTGAAAATTCAATCATTTTTGTTTAAAATCATTTTAAATAATTTTCAGTCTATTTTCTGTGTATTTTATCTAAATATTTAAAAATTGATTTTCAAAAAATAGACCAGTTAATCTTAGTGCTTTTATTAAATTTTGAAAAATATTCAACAAAATTTTATAAGAGCGTGCATTACGTACTGCCGATTTTTGGGTAAATCACTTTTATCCCAATCCAAATTGGTGTCATTAGCAATAGATTTTAAGCTCATATCTTTGTTTGATTTTTATTTTAATCTTATTTTAATAACTAAAGTCTGTTAAATTATTTTTAAATATTTTTGGGCATATTAACTAATACATATAATTTTTGGCATTTTTTCAGTTAATCTTAGTGCTTTTATTAAATTTTGAAAATGCTTTCTCTACCATTTGAAGTTCAACATGATATATTTAAATTCCTCAGTTATGAAGATTTATGTTCAATTAAGCAAACAAATTTATATTTTCGTGATTTTATTAATAATTTTGATGGAGAACTTGCTCGTCAAAAATTACCATTTAGAATTTCTTTTGTAATGTTTTTTTTAATTTTTAAAATTTTTTCTCTTAAGCCTATTATTGATCAAGTCAAAGATACTCGTAAATTAATTAAAGCTGAGGCTGAAAATATAGATTTTCCATTGAATAAACGATTTGAAGAGAAGGTTAAATTAAACAACAATAAGTTAATTTCCTTTCTTTTTAGTTGAAAAATGAATTAGAAAAACCAATTCCTTTGTATTCAATGAATCAAGACTCAGAAAAGAATATTTTCACTTGCTTATCCAAAGGTTAAAATTTGCGGATAACTCTAGTTTTGAAGTGACGGATCATATTTTTCTTACTTCCCATTTTCCTTAGTTTTTTGATTTCTGTTGACCACTGCCATAAGGAAAAATCGTGCAAAAAACAAATAACTTTTTTTACATTATTGATGAAACTGGAAAAATTAAAAGGGAAAAGTGGGGGGGGGTGTATGGTCAGCCAAAGTATTACCGCCCAACTTTCCTGACTTTTTTCTCCCATTACGACTAAAACATTGAACATTATTGACCCCAAATTTATTTAAAAAATTTCCAGACCATTTATTTTTTGATAAGTAAGGTTTTGTTCGAATTGTCGAAAAGTTTTGAAATTCGCTTTTAATTTAGAAAAATCTAAAATTATCGACTTTGAATACTGCCATATACTACAATTACCAACCATTATTACAAACAAAAATCAGATGAAAATTGCTTATTATTATTTGAATAAATTATTTAATTGTTCTTTTGAATGTGGCCATTTTCCAAATTTTATATTTAATCCTAAATTGATTCAATTATTATTTGGAAATTCTAGACAAATTTATATTAATGACTGCACAATACTTATTTTAGACTACAATATTGAAAACAGACTTCAATTTATTTCGAATCATTTAACTAGTGCAAATCTTAAAATTTATTTTTGGCTAAATAAAGACATTATGGGAAAATATAGAGATATGTTAGTTAAAATTCTAGCAAATGGAGGTGACAAATTTAAAGAAGTTGATTTGTCGTTTCATACTTACTCAAAATGTTGGGATATTATTATAACTGTAACAATGCTTTATGATCAGATTATTGAAGTAATTTTTCAAGGAAATGCTAAAAAAATAAATTTTAAATTTAAGTATATAGCAACATCTAGAGATTGTTCAAAAATGGTACCTAACATTATTATAACCTATGATAGTTCCACAAGTCATAAATTAAGTATAAATAAAAGGGCAGAAGAGGTTAAAATTGAACAATTATATTATGGTATTGAATGTACAAAATACCAAATTGCGAATATTCACAATCCAAAAGTGAGATTTGAATTTTGCCATAAAGAACTGGGTCTTTCTTTCATTCATATCGACAAAATGAAAGAATAAATGTTGCAAAAGAAGTAAACGAAGAGTAATTTATTGGTCAGCTAAATATTTTTAAAAATTGTTGTTTTTCTTTGGCTTTCGTTAAATTATTTTTTTGTTTTATAAAATTTATTTGTATCATTTTTAATGTGTCAATGATTTTCAATTTATTTTTAACTATTGTTTAACAAATTTTAAATATTGTTTGATATCGTTAGGGTTTTTATTAGAGTTCGACATTTTCAATTTACCGGGCCCGGTATCCGGGTTTTTTTCCCATTCGACCCGGGCCATGTTTTCCGGGCTAAAACCCCGGAAACTAAACCCCGGAAACCTTTTTTCTTTATAAAAAATTTTTAAACCTATTGGCAGCTATTAATACCTATTGGCAACTATTGCAAGGAGCTTTCGCTTGACACGTACAGGTGATTATCATACCGAATGTAATGGCTTTTCTGAGAAAATATAAGTTAAATAAAGTATTATTACATGAACCTCAATTTTTTCAAATCTAAAACTCACTTTAAAAATTTATTTACAACTATTTAAAAATAAATGGGAAGGTTTAACATGAAAAAAAATATTGCAAATTATAAAAACAAAAACAATTTATCCAAAAGAAAAACAATTTATATATTTCTTTGTTCAGTAAATTAAAAAATTGTTTTGTCTTTTCAAATTCTACTCTTCCATTTTTTGGATATCAATATAATATATTGCTGAGGCAGCATAATCAACGTTCTTAAATGAAAATCTCATTTTTGGATTGTAAATATTGGCAATTTGATATCTTGTATATATTACACATGACTCATCTGAATCATCAATTTCAACTTTCTCAGCTCTTTCATTTAACGTAAAATCAGGAAAATAAGAACTCCAAAAAGTAATTTCAGGCACCATATTTGAACAGTCTTTCGATGTTATTATATACTTGAATTTAAATTTATTTATAATTTTGTGTATGTAAACGACCTACATCTATAATAAGATCGTAAAGCTTTGCTATCTCTTAACCGTCAGCAAAAATTTTTAGTGATTTTTTATTGCCTTTATTTATTATAATATGGAATAAAATATTTATATGGTGATCTGTAATGTCATCATTGCATAAAACGATGCTAAGATATTCAGAATTTGATAGATGATTTAAATAAAATTTAAAAATATTCTCAATTCTTTTTTTGCCAGCACGTAGAAATATATATTTAATATTAAATTGAAGAGAAATTGTTTTGTCATTATCAAATAATATTTTGATCATTTCAGGATTAAACACAAAAGTTCCAAAATTGCAAGATTCAAAGTCACATTCAAATAGTCGTTCTAACCAGTAACGAATGATAATCATTTGTTTAAGGTTCTTTGGTTGATTTGGCAATTTCAAAATATAATAAATGGCATCTTCGTCATCTAAATGGAAATAAATATAAAAAAAATTTTTGATCAATTGAGATAATTTGTGTATAATTGACTAAAATTAATTATTACATTATAATTTTATATAAATTCTTATAACCTGTCTTACTCATACAAACGAATAATTTTTTGCCAGAATGTAAAAACAATCGAGTCGATTTAGCTATAGATGCTTGCCACTGAATAAATAAATGTATAATCATGAAAAAATTAATTTAACTTTCTCCTTAAGTTGGTCATCTAAGGTAAATTCAAAATTTGTAGAACGAATGTCAATTATTTTATTTGAATCTGCTAACTCTTTTTTACTATGCTAAATTAAATTATAAATATAATTATAATAATTTAATGACTATTTACTAGTGAGAGTTCATAAAATTTCCTTCGTGCCAATTTTCCCTCATATTTATTAATTAAATTGCAAAAGTAAGAATTTGTTTGTTTAACAGAGATTAATTCGTTGAAATTAAGATATTTTAATATTCGAAGTTGAACTTCTAGTGGTAGAGAAAGCATTTTGATTGTCTAAAAAAGATACATACGTAGGTATTTATAAAAATTCAAGTTGTACTTTCAAAATTTATTAGAAACCTCAAAATTTTTTAAATTTACCTAGGCACCTTTTCCCTCCATTTTTTCAATCACCGATTTTTTCAATCACAATCTAATAGGATGGGATAAAATAAATTAAGTTTAAAAATCTGTGCCTTTTGAGAAAGTGGAAGGAACGAAATTCAAAATTACCAGATTAATTTTAAATGTGTTTAAAAATAATTTTAAATTAACTTACAAAAAATTATTAAAAAACAAAAATAATTTTATCTGAAAAGTAAAAACCAAGATATTTAAAAATTAAAAAAAATATAAATAAAAATATGTTTTGTAGTTTGAACAATAATTTTTTGATCAGAACAATAATTTAAAGTAAAAATATTTAATTTTCCCGTTCTTTATTTACTAAATTGGCCATAGAGAGTTGGTGGAAACAATTTTTCTTTTATTAATTTTATCCATTTCAACAAAAAATAGGCCAATCTGTCTTATAGTATTTGTCAAACAATATTAAAGATATTAAAGTTTTATAAATAATTCTACAAAAGAAGTTATGTATCAAAATGATTTAGAAATTTTGGAGGGGGATGACTCATGTATAATGTTAAAAATTAAAATTAAAAAAAGGCTCCCCATTTTTACGACAAAAATATTGTAATGGTTACTAGAATTCGAACTCGGACAGAGTTTCCGAGTCCGGAAATATTTATTAAATCCGTTTTTAGTGTTTATCACCGAAAAATTCGACCTGGAAGGATGTGTTTAAAAATATAAATAAATTGACTTTCCTTAATCTACAAAAATGATGAAAATAAATTTAATAAAAAAAGTAATTTAATCAAAAAAGTAAATGAAAAACAATTTTTTTAAAACAGGTAATTTATTTGTCAGCTAAATCAAAAACTATTCTATCTTACATATATTCAGCCTTCAGCTTCTACTTTTTTTATGTTGATTATAACATAAAAAAAGCCTCCATATTCCCTTTCTACGTGGAAAAATGAATATCTTTCGCTTGGATTGTAAATATTGGAAATTTCATGATAGGCATATTTTATATCATTTATTTGTTCAATTTTAACTTTTTCTGCTCTCTCACTTAATTCAAAACTTGTGTGATTTGAATATTCAATCAAAATATAAGACACCATTTTTGAACAGTCTTTAGATGTTGCTATATACTAAAAATTTAAATTTTTATTTTTATGTATCTTTTATGAAATAACATATTTTCTCTAAAATAACACTGAGGTGATTTTTTTCGATCAGCCTCTAGAGGGGGGCTATTTTAAAGAGGGGAGGGTGGCTATTTTAGAGGAAATTATTTTAGAAAAATTGTAGTCACCAATTTGAATCTAAATACAACCTTATTAGATGCCTAGCATAACAAGTTCAAACAATTTACCGAGTTGCCCTCCATCCTTGATATTTCTTTTAATCAACACAGATCCACAAATGTCTCTCCTAATCCACCCCTTAGAGAACTACTATATTACCATTATTAAAGTATTGATCGATTAGAACAAGAGGGCTCTGAAGAGACCGATTATTTGGTTAGAGAAGTCAGAGAAAAAATTTACTCTCTTCCCATATAACCGGTCTCTTCAGGCTCTCTTGTTCTAATCGATCAATACTTTGTTAACCCACTCCTATAGGAGGTTGTGGGGGTTGAATGGAGTAGTGCGGGGGATAAGTAAGGTGAGGGCGATTCTGAAGCGATTCTGAGGGCGATTCTGAAGCGATTCTGAGGGCGATTCTGAAGCGATTCTGAGGGCGATGCCGAAGCGATTCTGAGGGCGATTCTGAAGTGGTTCTGAAGCGATTCTGCAGCGATTCTGAAGGGAAACTGAAGCGATTCTGAAAGGATTCTGAGGCGATTCTGAAGGCGATTCCGAAGTCGATGCTGGGTGATCAAAAGTATTGCATCAGAATCCAAAAGGTATCAAATATGGCCTGAGGAAATTCTTGACACGCGGGTGGCTGTAGCCTGAAGCGGGGGCCGTGTCGAGTCGGGCCGGCGGGCAATCAATCGATAATTTATTTTGAAAAAACTTTTGGCCCTCAACCCACCCGCACTCAGGGCCCGTAGAATAAATTCGGGGTTAGGTTACTCGAGTAACTTTTCCCCCACAAAACGAAGAAAAGAGAAAAATCCTTGAACAATTTGTAATCGTATCCTATTATCCTAGTGGGGGAAGGGGGGGTAATGCGTTTCTGTGCAATAATTATTTTTTTGGGGGGCATTGAACATGCTTGCTCATAACAAAATCATTATTTTTTTCTCTAACAACTACATACATATATTCTCAAATTCTAACCTTTTTTATTAATTTTTTTCACTATCCGTGTCATAAAAATAGATAGAAATTTTTTTACTCGTTTTATTTTTTTATATTAAATAATTTTTTTATTATAGGGTATACCTATAACCTAAATTTTTGGATTTGATGTTGACTTGAACATCATTAAATAATTCAAGGTTAATTTATTAATATTTTAAAAATAATTATCTTTTTTTAATTTTAGTAGCTGTGTGGAGTGGCTAGAGAACAAGGATTTACTTGTGGGATAAAACGTATTGAAATTAAACTATAAAAAAGTATTTTTTTGAAATTATTTTTTAGATGAAATTGCCTAATTAAAGACTGGATTTAAATATGAAGTCCGTTTTAGCATATTGACTGAAAATAGTAAATCGGAAACCCTTATTATTTAATAGAATTAGTTTGGCCCTTAACTGACAATAATGAATTAAATCCTAATTTTATTTCACCCAATCGCCAAAATTGATGTATTTTTCTCTTCCGATTCTAGTAAAGAATTAGCTGGAACTGGATTTCAAGTATATTATTTTAAATATAATTATTAAAAAAATTTTTCAAGGCTAAGCTTAGAACAATTAATTCTGATTGTGGAGGAGCTTTTTTTTTTGCCGGCCAAGAATGGTCTATGTTAGTTTTGTTTGGATGAATTATATATTGTTTGGATGAATTTCTGGAACTTCGTGATGCTGGGGGCTTTAACTGAATGTCAACATCCTGCTTATACTACAGAACCATTACAGGGAAAAAGGAAAGAACTATACGTACAGGTGGTGATAATTTCAGTAATTGTTTAAAAGGATAGGGGAAAAGGATTTTCCCAAGTCATATTATTTTTTTAATAAGTGATTTTCTTTAGATGGATTAATGTAGTTCCCTCGAAGCTTATTTAATTCCAAAATCAATTTATAAATAAAAACACTATTTATTCCTGATATTTCCCTTTAATTTATTCAGGAACCTCAATGCTACATTTCAAGTACTTCAGTTATACAATTAACTGCTTCTGTTCTTCAAAGCCAATTCTCTACCAGTTTTCGTTTCGAACTTTTTCTGCTTGCAATCGAAGTATTGAATTCGATGGAAATGGTTAAAGATTTTCACGATTTGTTAAAAATTAATTTTTTCTATTTAGTTCCCGAGGGTGTTTCATTAGCTTCTGGACGTATTACTTCTCCCAATTATCACCATTCCCCTTATTTGGCTAATTCTAGTTGCACAACAAAGTTTTAAATTTAAAAATCTTTTATTTAGAATATTTCCTTAATTTAAAGGTTAATTGCAGCCGAGGATCATCGTCTCTTTCTCGTTTTTAAACATTTTGAATTAGAAAGGGGCCGTCACAGAATGTTACCTCAATCAATGTCATTTCATCGTTTTCGACCATTTGGTATTAATTCAGATAATTTCATTGGTACAGCAACGAGGGGGCTGATAATTGTTTATATGATTATTTCAATATTTGTTGTTTATCATCAAATAATCAATTAAATGTAATTTTAAAAAATTTAATTAAATTAATTTTTTAAAGACAAATAATTCATTTGAAAATACAAAAACTTTTTGTGGTTCCTGGTTACCCCCTTCATTAATTTCTGAAAATAACAAAATTGAACTTACTCTTACTACAGATGCTTCTATTATGGGAAGTGGCTTTGAAATTAATTATTATTCTGTTAGGATAACAAGTATAAATTAATATTAAATTAAAAATATTATTGTTAAAATTTATTTGCAGTTTTTATTTAAAGTCGTATCCATTGTTGGGGGCATTTTCATTGTTGGGGGTCAGTCGTATTCATATTAAAGGAGAGAAAGAAGATTATAAACAAGGACCTCCAGGATTGCCAGGAAAATTAATTGAAAAGGTAAAGATTTATAGAAATTAAATATATATTTTTAAAATTTTCGGGTGTTAGGATATCCCAAACAGCATTGGAATTATTAGCTGTAACACCTGATTGTGCTATTGGTTCTTTAGTTTTTCCTCTTATTAAAGTACATAGTGGTTGAAACAAATTATTGTAAGTTATATTGAAAGTTTATTTTCTGATTTTTTATGTCAACAAATTTTAGTTATATAAATTCCTAAACCTTTTGTCTTAAAAATACATCAGAATAAAAGGCTTAGGAATTTATATAAATAAAATTTGTCGGGGACATATTTAGCTTTACTATCAATTAATGAACTTTCAAAAGAGAAACTGAACATTACCATTTAAAACAAAGCTCATAAATTACATAGTCATTGCTTTTTTACTTATTATATAAATTATTCTAAACTTTTAAATTTATATATAAGTTAATTTTCTTTTAAATTATAAATTTTAAAGTAATTTAATAATTTATTTAAATTTAGTAAAATCTTAAACAAAATGTCTACAACTAATAATAATAAAAAAAGAAAAACTACAACTTCATCCTCACCTCCGAAAAGACAAAACTTAGTGGAACAGTCACCAATCCCTTACACACCTTATAGAGAACCAAGACCAGCTAATCAACAACTTATTTCTCAAAATACATTGCCAATGCCACAACCCACACAACCAATTCCACTAAATTCAACCCAAGTAATTAATGCAGGAAATATACAGACTACTCCAAATATACAACAACAACAACAAGACCAACCAAGTGTCA